TTTTGCTTAAGTGTCATTTCCTGTTTGTTTGTTTTTAAAAGTGAAGGTTGAACTCTACACCTGCAAAGGACATCAGTAGTTGTTTCATTGTCTGTTTATGTGACACGAGCTGTTACACTCTGTAAGAAGACTCACAATGACAAAGTTTCACTGATCCTTTATCCTTTATTTTAAAGTGAAGTTTTCAGCACAATCATAAAAACACAAATACTTAAGTTTTACATCAAAACCAAGCGAACTGTCCACAGTGCAGGAACAGTGCTGCAGCCCATAGCTTATACTCTGCTGTTTACTGATGACACCATGTGGAGGTGGGAGGCACTGCTCTTTCACAAAGAACAGCTTCTCAAGTCATTTCAGATTACACTTCAAAGTATCACAGTGCTTACGGTCAGACTTTCAGTGTTGTATTAAGCAAAAACACACTTGTTTTGTAAAATATCATAAAACATTCATAGTCAGAAATGTTAAATATCAGTATTAAAAGAATGGCAGTGTAAACAAGCACACACACAAAATCGTTGGACTGCAGAAAGATCATTCGTAAATTTTTTGACCCAGTGGAAACCTGTACTCAGGATGTAGCTATAACATTATGAGGTACAGATTCAGCATGAAGAAGAGCTGCTGTTTGGTTATAGCTTAAAAACTGCCAGCATTTAAACATATAAACTGTCCAGCTTTTGTCCATGAAGGCTCTTCCACAGTAGTTTCCATGGTTACAGGTTGGATGTCTCTCCTGGGACGGCTTTGGCATCCAGGTAGCTGATGAGCTGCTTCACCCAGGGGGCCGAAGGTCTGACACACAGCTGTCGGCCTGCCACTGTGTTCAGCCTGAAGGTTCACAGAAAGAGGAGAGTCAGAGGATGGAGGGGCAGGTTTGGTGATGGTGGTGATGTGTGTTTGTGAGGTTGTGTACTTACAGGATGGCGGACTTGGAGCAGCGCTGGCTGGTCTTGACGTAGCTGACCACTCTTCCTTTAGGCACTTCCTGGTCATTGAAGCGGAAGCAGCACTTTTTTGGGCCAGCACCGCGCATACCTGCAAACAAACAGGAACAAGTTAATAACTGAGCCACTGACACAGCACCACATCATCTGCTTCCTGGTTTTTGTTCCGATTCAGTTTCCTGCTGGCTGGTGTGAGGTCACATCTGATACTGTATGTTTAGTTGATGACACTGTGCAACTGCTCATTTGTTCCCCTGAGTTCTGAAGTGGTCAGATTTGTCATGTGACCTGTCCTCTGTTTACTGTATCTATGAAGTAATATGTTAATATTAAGTTTAATGCTGCATTAACATTAATTATTTTCATATTGCACATTAGAATGGACTCTTTATCTTAGACAAACTACTGAATGCTTTAATGGTTCATGACTTTAGCTTCAGAAATAGAATTTCTTTCTAGTAACTCCTATGACTGAAAAAGATTGAAGAAAAGTTTCATACATTGTTTATCAAAAATAAAATCAATAGCTTGCTATTAATGGTCTATTAGTTTGTAAATAAAACAGCCAAGAATTATTGTTGCTTTGTAATAAAATTAATGATTTGAGTGATTTGTTTTTGTTTTTCTCAATTAAAAATTAAAAAAACATTTTTAGTGTTACGTATAAACTCTGAATATCATATTAATATTAATTTCAAATTGTTATTCATCACACAGTGTAAAGGTCAGATCATTAAAACGAGCCTTACCCTCAGTCAGAGCGATGACAGCCAGCATGAGCACAACCACAGACAGAGCGAGACGAGGAGCGGCCATCCTGAAGTTTGTTTGTTGGCTTCGTGTTGCAACAGTGGATTAAAGTCTCAGCTGAGCTCTGTCGGCTTGTTCTCTGTGCTGTGTCACTGCTGTCCACCTGCTTCACATTTATACAGTTGGAAGAAGAAGCGGGGAGACCCTGTTGTGCATCTTGGAAAGTTTGTGACGAGTCGAGTTTCACTAAAACAGGGAACTGTTCAGTTTCCCTTTTCACTACGCCTCTCTCAAATGGGACCAAAGTAGATCTCTCTGGTCTGTCCAACTTCCTATGTGCTTTCTATTCTGAAACCACAGACCTTTCATTGTTGATGCAGTGTGAAACAGTTAAGTGTCTTTATATCAGACATATGAGTTTTCAGACAAAACAAAGGTGCCAAAGGTCAGTTTAATAAGTTGTACTTACTGCAGCTTCTCATGAATCCTCTCAATCTCCAAGATTGTGTTAAACAATCTGGTTAAAAAGTCCACTGCCCTCTCTTTAATCAGTCTCCATACCTCCACAGTAATGTCATCTGCACCAACCTCCTTTCCACTCTTCATTCTCTTCACAGCTGCCGGCATTTCCTTCTTACTGATCCTCTTTACCTTCTGAATAACTAACGGTTATTCATCTTTCCACTTCGCTTTACCTCATTTTCTTCTTTTTTCAGCCTCAAAGTACTCCTTCCTTCTTCTCAGCACCCCTCTTCACCTATCAGTACATTTCCATCTCTTTCCTTCATCACCCTAATCTGCTGCACATCCTTTCCAGATTGGCCTCTCTGCCTAGCCAGTCGATAGTCCTTCTTTCCTTCTCTAGTTATAAAAAGGGAAATAAAAATCAGTTTTTATTAATGAGTCAGTTTGTATCTTTCATAAAACAGTACTGGAGCTTGTAATTTTTTTCCAGCCCCCCGCACAGTCAGACAAGGAGTGCGTATTCTCCATAAATTGCTGGCTGTCTGTCCAGAAAGCGACTTTGGCTTCACAGAAAATTGTGAAACTTTCTAGGGAACCTCTGCTATTATTAGGAGAGACGTCATCCATCTCACTGTAGATGGAGCAGCTCTTATTTTGAGAAAAATGAGTGCTTTTATTAAGCACCCCAAAGCGTGACTATCCAGAGATGCAACCAGGAAGCAGAGCTGGAATCTTACACGCCTCTCTGCAGTGTCCCACCTCCTGTTATTCCCCCAACACCCCATCCACATATAGACTGTGTCTGCTCAGAATCCACCAAAAAATCCCAGCTAACTGTCAGTCCTCAACGCACAGGCAGAGGAGGAGGAGAGGCAGTAATCTTTCATTTTAGCCTATTAATCAACCACAGACAGACAGACAGTTTTAATTCATTTGAAAGCCTGACTCTGACCTTTGTCCACCCTTCCTGAAAAACTCAAAAAAACATTTTTTTGTTGTAATAATCTACCATCCCTCTAGCTCTTACTCAGAGTTACTCTCTGATTTCTCCGCATTTTACCCGTGTTACCACTCAGTTATGATCAAATAAATAGTGCAGGTTATTTTAATATCTGTGTAGATGTTGAAAACGACAATTTCAAAACCTCATTTAACTTTTTATTAGACTCAATTGGCTTTTTTTAAACTGGAAATGATCCCACACTCTTGACCATGTCCTCACATATGGCATAGAAACTGCACATTTAACAGTGTTTCCTGAAATCATTTTTGATAACACATAATTTAAAAACAATGGACTACACAGCAGTGTACAATCAATTGCATTACACTAGATGTCTGTATATTAGAAACATCTTGTCTCAGAATGATGCTGAAAAACGAATATGTATATATTTGTGCTATGCTGACCCCGGCTAGACAGATTTGGTAATAGTTTATAATACGTCCCATGCCTAAGGATGTAATTCTCCAAAAGTAATTCAAGGAAATCATTAGACTGTAAGTCATTTTAAATAGTGTGCATTTTCATTGTAATTTTGCAGAAAACAAACAATATTTCCCCATCATTCAGTGTAAAGCAGAAGCACAGCAATAATCATTTTGATGTGATACAACACCTTATAGCAGTGTTTCCGAACCTTTTGGAGCCACAGCAGATATTTCACATGAGAAAAATCACACAGCACACCACCAAACAAAAATGTCACAAAAAGCATTTTGATCATCAGTATAACTTTTTTTGCTTTCTTCTCACCACTACTCGTGCTAGGGTCTTCATCTGAGCCGGAATTTCTCCAGAACCCAGGTCAGACTGACTACTTTTTTTCTTTTCAAATATTTATCTATTGCTATGAGGCATTGCGCTGTCTCTCTCGCAGCCTGACTATTATGTAATTTCTTTTTCGTCTTCTTCAGTTTTACTGGAAAAAGTTTTACTTTGCAACCAATTTAATTAGAGCACGTGGCTGTACTGCCCTCTAGTGGACGAGAATGTATTTTTTCTGCCCATTACACACGCTTAGAATTTTAAACTCAGTTTTAAACATGTTGCTGAGTTTGTTAAATGACACAAAGCAAAGCCAAGAACCTTGAACTCATTTTTTATCAGGACATGTCCTTCAACGCACATATTAAACAAATATGTAAGACTGCTTTCTTCCATTTGCTCAACATCTCTAAAGTTAGAAATATCCTGTCTCAGAGTGACGCTGAAAAACTA